TATTTCTTTAAAACATAAGACTTGAAAGTAAAATTACTCCTTGATCCATGGGATGCAGAATGGATGTTGGGTTAGCAGGCATGAAAACAACATTAGTCTCATTGTGCATCTCCATCAGAGCTCTTGGGTGACCCAGGCACACTGTCAATGAGCAGAAGTATTTTGAAAGCAATCTTTTTTCTGAGCAGTAGTTCTTAACAGCAGGCTTAGAATATTCAGTAAACTATGTTGTAAACAGATGTGCTGTTCATTCAGGCTTTGTTGTTCCATTTATAGAGCACAGGCAGAGTAGATTTAGCATAATTCTTAAGGGCCCTAGGATTTTCAGAATGGTTAAGGAACATTGGCTTCAGCTTAAAGCCACCAGCTACATTAACTCCCAACAAGAGAGTCAGACTGTCCTGTGAAGCTTTGAAGCCAGGCATTGACTTCTCCTCTCTACCTATGACAATTGTAGATGGCATCTTCTGTCAAAAGAAGGCTGTTCCATCTACACTGAAAATCTGTTGTTTAGTGTAGCCTCCTTTAATAATCTGAGCTAAATCTTCTAAAAAACTTGTTACAGCTTCCACATCAGCCCTTGTTGCTTCGCCTTACACTTTGATGTTATGGAGATGGCTTCTTTCCTTAAACTTCATGAATGAACCTCTGCTAGCTTCAGACTTTTCATCTGAAACTTCTTCACCTCTCTCAGCCTTCAAGGAATTGAACAGAGTTAGAGCTCTCTATGGATTAGGCCATGGCTATGGGAATGTTGTGGCTGGTCTGCTCTTCTATTCAGACTACTAAAACTTTCTCTGCATCAGCAAGAAGGCTGCTTTGCTTTCTTATCATTTGTGTATTCACTGGAGTAGCACTTTCAATTTCCTCCAATAATTTTTCCTTTGCATTTACAACTTGGCTGACAGACGTAAGAGGCCTAGCTTTCTACCTATCTCAGCATTCCACATGCCTCCTCACTAAGCTTTATCATTTTTAGTTTTTGATTAGCATATGACTCTTCCTTTCACTTGAACACCTGGAGGCCACTGTAGGGTTTTTAGTTGGCTAATTTCAATATTTTTGTGTTTCAGGAAACAGGGAGACCCATGGAGAGGGACAGAGGCAGGGAGACGGCCAGTCAGTGGAGCAGTCAGAAAACACACAATGATTTATTGATTAAATTCATCATCTTGCCTAGGCATGGTTCATGGCACCCCAAACCATTACAACAGCAACATCAAAGACGACTGATCACAGATCACCAAAACACATATAGAAATAATGAAAAAGTTTGAAATATTATAAGAATTACCAAAAACAGAGACGCAAAGTGAGGAAATTATGTTAGAAAATGGCACCAATAGACTTGCTCGACACAGGTTGCCACAAACCTTCAATTTGTAAAAAATGTAGTATCTGCAAAGTGTAATAAAACAAGGTATTTCTATAGTTATTTACTGGTAGACTGGTTATTTTTGTTCTGTGATAGGAGGAAATAGTCAACAGCAGGAAAATGTAAGGACTGAGAATGAGGACTGAGCATAGTTCTTCACTGATAATCTTCTAGATGACTCCTCAAAAGAAGGGTAAGAATGGAAGCCATTAGAAGGGATCAAAGAGTGAATGGGCATTTAAAGCAGGGAGAGGATGAAAGCCTTCAACCTCATTTTAGCTACTGTCTTCAACCGAATTTAACAAATATTTATAAAGGAAGTATGAATATCTCAAACTGTGTTTGTCTTTTCTGAGAGAAAGATTTGGAGAAATTTTCTCACAAATGGATCCCTCTATACTATGATTCTCAACTTGCACGGTGCATCAGAACCACCAGGAGAACTTTTTATAGGTATATATACTCAGTTGCTATTTTGAGAGATTCTGATTCAACTGGTCTAGGAAAGAGCCCAGGAATCACTAATTTTTTTAAAAGCTCCCCTATTGATTCTATGCGGGGGCTGTATTAAAACACCCCCAAAGCCCAATCAACATGTCATTGTCAGACCTTCTTTGGGCATTAAAAAAAGTGAAAGGTTGAAGCCCACATTATCTGTTTAGTTGGTCTTACTGTGATACCCAAATAAATTTTAAAAAGTTGGCATGATTATTCTCTTTGGGCCTTTTAAAAAGCCACAATTGTTTGATCATAATTTATAAGCCAGCTCAATTAGAACATGGAATTCTAACAGAGAACAGCTTGCAAAGTATTGTTTGTTTGTTTATTTTAAAGTAACTTGAGATCTAGAAGTGGCTACAATGGGGAGCTAATTATCATATAACAATTTCAAGGAAGTAGTTCATTTGAGTTTCCTTTTTCTCTTTTCTTCAAGAGAAGTGTTTACATAATCAAACATGTTTTCAGTAAAGAATTACAAATGGAACAGTTACATGCCTGCTGATGTGTCTTGGCTTTACAACTGATAAACTGTATTCATTGTACCTGCAAATAAACATGAATCTTCCAAGGCTAGACATTTATCATTTGGACAACCCCTGGAGTAACTTGGTCTGGAAAAAAAACATTTTGATAGATAACAGCATGTTTAAATGGGACTCTTTCTGTCTGAGTTTATAGTTGAGAAAACAGATACTACGTTGTAAAGGGTGGTGTTAGGCCACCTAGGCCACCTGACAGAACTTGGAAATATGATGCCCTCAACATGTTCCACTATTCCCACACTATGGCCCGTCTCTGCGTTGTGTGACATGAGGGTAACAGTTCATGGACAGCCTAAAAAGAAAGATTTTTTAGTTTGGGTTTTTGAGGGTTCCTTCCAGAGAACCACTTGTAGAAACTAATAACGTCCCTTGAGTGTGGTGTAGGAACAGAGATTGGTACCTGATTCATGCCTAATAATTCTAAAGGTTTGGTAGGCAGGAGCAGAGGGCTTCTTTAAGGAGGACCTGCAATTGTACAATCTAATGATCAGACATTTGGTTAAAGATAACAAGGCTTAAAAGGACTCTGCCCATGGAAGAAACCCAACTGTCCATCAGTGGATGAATGGATAAACAAAATATGGTATATATTTACAATAGAATATTGTTCAGCCTTTAAAAAGGAAATTCCGACACAAGCTACAACATGGATGAAACTTGAAGACATTAAGCTAAGTGAAATAACTTGGTCACAAAGGACAGAAACACAGAAGTGATTCTACTTACACGAGGCATGCAGAGCAGCCAAAGTCACAGACATGAAGCAGCACAGTGGTTGCCCAGGCAGAATGGGGAGCTGGTGCTTAATGGGCACAGAGTTTGAGCTGGGGACAATGAAAACGTTGGGGAGCTGGCTGGCAGTGATGGGTGCACAACAATGCAAATATATTTAATGTTACTAAACTCTAAGCTAAAAAATGATAAATTTTATGTTGTGTTTATTTTGCCACAATACAAAAGAGAAAAAGAAAAACAGGCCCTGACAAAGAGAAAACTCCTGGAGGACTGAGGGACCCACAGACAAGGTCTGGATGGGCCACTGGAAACCAGGGACCGAGAGGGAATTGTAACCTGTCAGCCAGGAGAGGCCACGAGAGAATCCCAGGCATGGGAGTTCCCTGAAGAATGAAAACAATTCACAACACAGAGAATGTTGGTATCTGACCCAGAGGACCTTGAAACCAGGCTGGGACAGCGCCAGTCACGTAAGGCTTCGCCCTTTATCCTATCTCCCTCTTGCTCCCTGTGCTTGTCTTGGGGGAGGAGGTGAAGTGAGGAAGACTAAAGCAGCACACTATGACCCTCTGCTGACTTCCAATCCCAGAGAAGGAGAAGAGCTCAGGGACTACTTCACATCTGAGTGTGTCAGAAGAGCCGTGGAATCCACCAGGGTTCACCCAGGAGGGGTAAAGATGGATTCAACAGGGTAGGTTTAGAGGAAGAGGGGTGAGAAAGATGCAGTAGCATTTTGTTGGCATTCTAGCCCTTTCCATCACCGGTGAGGAAGTCCTCTCCTTCGAGCTTAGGAGATTCCTCAGGAAACAATCGTCTGTTTTACTTCTCTCCTTCCCTACTTTCAGGAAAAAGTTGGCCCCTTAATCCATCTAAGATACCAGGGGCCATGGTATCTGGAAAGAGGGCCTCCACAAATAAATGAGTAGAAATAATTTTGTATTCACAGCTATAGAGGAGGGAGGGGATACAGAGGTGATGCTATGCAGCTCTGTGGCCAGCAAAACTAATCTTTCCTTAATCCATCACAGTCTAAGCTTTTCCCTTTCAGAATGTTGACAAGGCAAACCAAAACAATTATTTGTGGCTCCATGCATTCATGTATTCAATACACTTTTATTGAGTACTATTATATATTTAAAAAATTAAAGGAATAATAGGTAAGACATGATCACACACTTTAATGCACATATGTTCTAGCCAAGGAAAACATACAGACTCACAATTAATTATACTATAGGATAAAAAAGGGGAAATAATCACAGGATTAGAAGCTCTATAGAGAAGACTACATTTAAAAGGAGCTTTGAATAATGGGACAATTTTTCAGGGGAGATGGCCTAATTGGAACAGAGAGTAACTAAAGTGGAGAGATGTTAGAGTAAAGGGCAGATGGCAGGGAAGCAGGTGGCTGATTTGTAGGCTATGATGCAGCTGAGATTGTAAGTAACATACAATTCCCTGAGAAGAGAAATGTGAGCCGCAGGTAGGAAGACAGCTTGCTGTGAGACTTGTAAGGGCCACAAAGGCCAGAAAGTTTGTACTCTGATAGGTAATGGGGGAGTAATTTAAGGTTTGTGAGTGGATGGTTCTGTAATCTAAAATATGGCTTAGGAAGAACAAAAAAAGGCTATCAAAATCGCTCAGTCGGGAGGTAATGGAGCCCGTAAGTAGGACAACTGCTGCAGCAACTGGAAAAAATGAAACACATGGGAGAAGCTTTTGGGAGGTGGAATAAATGGGGCTTGGCTCCTGACTGCATATGCCCTTCCCACATTCTCTGTTTGACCCTCATGTCTTCCATCTTCTGATCACAGAGGCATGAAGGTGTCCCTTAATACTGATATTTTCTGGAAAACTTCTCATCAGTATTAGCTAAGGCTTCATTTGCAACTTCCAAAGACAATTCTTGATATTCAAAAAGAAGAAGTGATATTTTATGTCTACATTCATATTGAATTTTCTCTGTATTCCATACTTTCTGGTAAAGTTTTCCCCTTTTATCTTAGGACCCTTACTCTCAGAAAAATGTCAGCATACATTAGTATATTTCTCATGAAGCTCTTGGCTGTTCAGGTAGAATAGAAATAGGCTCATAAAATTAAAGTTATTAAAACTGATAGTAAATTCCTCTCTGTTCCATTACTCAACTTTGAGAGCATCTCTATTCTCTAAGGGCATTGGAGTATTAATTTTATATATTGAGGAAAAAAGACTTTAACAGTAGAATTGTATAACTAAATTATGAGAAATAAAGAAAAGCAATCATCAAAATAACTGTTTATAATCCAACTGTCAAACAAAATTCAGATAATGTATTAGTCACCTCAATTTTTAAAGGCCAGAAAGATAGAAGATATTTTGTATGTCTATATTTCTAATTTTCCCTATTTGTGGACTAGGCTAAAATTAGCTAAGTTGCCAGTACGTGGCGTTAGGGAAGGGGTTCCTTGGCATGGCAAGTCTTTTTTGGAAGGCTTTGCTCATGGAGATGGGTAACTTTTGAAGACTTGCATGGCTGTTTTTGTCATGTGAAATTGCGTATCTCCATGCCCTGGGCTTTTTGGCAGAAACATATAGGATAACACAGGTCACAGACAACTGGCACATGTCAAGCCATCATGTGCTGGTGTATAGCAGTTGTGATTGCAAGGGTGTGTCAAGGAACTAGGAAACAGGTCATCAGTTTTCATCTCAAACTTCAAGCAGGAAATTATCTTCCTGATAAAAGAGCAAAAAATTACACCTCCTCCCCAGCACCTCAGCCAGCACATTTTATAGCATATCTTGGTCTGAGCAGACAGAACTCAGGACAGATTAGTGAAGGCATGTGCTCTGGTTCACAGAACAGTTGATTTTTGTTACATGCTAACTATAACTAAATACTCTGTAAGCACTTTTCCCTGCACTATTTTATTTAACTGTTAAAACACCTTCTTATCATAACCATATGGAAAAACATACTGAGACTTTAAATAGGCTGCCCAAGATCAATAGCTACCGAACTGGAATTCAAGCCTCACTAGACTGATCAGACTAAATACCAAAGATAAGGTTTTATATTGTCTCCCTACACTGCCTTTTGCTTAGATAAAGCCAGCAGCCTCCTTCTGCCATGGATATTGATGTGAAGAAAGCCTGCATTAAAAGTGTACTTCTTGGGAGCTCTAAGCATTTCAGTAAGCATTTGTAAAGATCAGCCTTCCCAGAGAATTTATCTGGAGAATACTTACTGCCAGAGGATGCACCAATGGAGTATTTTTATTTAAAATGCCTGAGGGAGAGCATTTTTAAAAGCCAGTAGAGTATGCTGTGCTGTCTCTCAAGAGTCTCATGAACATACTGGAAGAAATGTACTCACATTACCTCTCCGGGCCATGAAATAACTTTCTGGGGAGGCAAAGGCTCAGAGTGTTATTGTCACTGGGGGCTGCTGGGTGGATTATTTCCCTCAGCTCTTGCTGTCAACTGAAAAACAGACACTACAGTATGATTATGGGAATGAGAAGGCTGCACCTAGATATAGATCTTCTTGAACAAGTTCAAGCAGTATAAGAGTGGAAGAGAATAAGCAAAACTGAGACAAGACAAGAAGAGGAACCTGGCTAGATGTGAGTGGGAGTCTTCCCCTAACCACAGTGGAAAAAGGGGAGACGGTTATCCCAGGGCCGTGGGGAGGAGGGATGGAGATGACCTCGGAATAGCAGAGGTTCCGCTCTCCCTGGCACACTCAGGCTCTCAGCTCTCTTATTATCATTATTATTTTACCTTTTGAAAAATTTGCTGGATCATTTATATTTGAGCTATAAATCCTTTACTAGACTAGGCTGCTTATAAATACATAGCTATAAATGCATTAATATAAATGTTTACATGGATGTTACATTATTCATGTTTGTGTATAATATTTATAAATACACAAATTTAAACAATATATACTCATTCAGAATTAATGTATACTATAGTATATGTAGATTTCATTCCAGAGTTTGGGTTTAGTAGCTCTTAATAAATTGTGTTTTGTCCTCATAAAGTCTTGACATAAAAAAATCTTTCCAGATGTTCTTCCATGTAGATTCCTGGGCTGGGGAGTGAGTGGGTTGGGTGCCACTGGATCAGAACAATCAAGAATTTGCTATGTAGAGGGTGGGAGTTGGGCTGGTGGGAACACCAAACCAAGACCGCAACACCAGAACTCTGACAGGGAATGCCACTTTTGACACTGGCACAAAATTAAGGTACACAGAACATATAGGTCTACACATACAAATCAACTTCCAAAAGGATGAGATTGTCATGAGGCTCAGAACTGGGCTGGAAATTTTGGAGTGTCTAATATTTTCATATATATGGAGAGAAGGTTTCTGAGTTACACAAACAAGAAGGCATTCATCATGGCACCAAGTGAGTGATTCATGTGTGAGGAGACTGACTATAGCACTTACAGGTAATGGGGACTGTGCCCCTTGGGCAGTAGGCAGGGATCAGGAAGTGGTGGCGGTGAAAGTTCTGTCTGTCTCTGGTACACAGCCATTCACGCTTCAACCCAGTTATTCTAGCCCTTTCTCAACAGGATGAAGCTCCACTAGGATGTAGGTAAGGAGTGAGAATGTGGGTAGATATGAGATGGTGTGTGTGTGTGTATGTGTGTGTGTGTATGTGTGTGTGTGTGAATTATAACACGACAATATGGAGTAGGGTTTATGTGGGACAACTGTATAGTGTTCCTTTTTTACAGTTACAGAAACTAAGAAACAATTGGTAAGGCAACTCTGTGGAGATAAGAATTTGAAGACAGTAAAGGAGTCATGACATCGTTTCCTGTTCCAAATTCCTGTCCTTTGCTCTTTCTCACAATCTCTAGTGATTTCTCAGTAATAAATATATTACTGCAATAATAACATAATGATTGTTATTACTATAATTTTATTGACTGTGTATTAAAATCTTCTCATGCATCATCCCATTTAATTTTCACAATTGACAAGAGCCAGGATTTGAAAGCAGTTTGGCACATAGACCTTAATGCTCTTTTAGTGATTCTTAGTGACTGTTTGCATGTTTGCAGTTCACTTACAAATTAATTCATCTGATAGATACTATTTTTATTCTTTACTGTAAAGATGTTACAAAGCAGGGTCATCTCAAAGGGAGAGGAAAAAAATCCCCTGCTTCCACTTTTCTCTTCTACTTCTTTCCCACCCTTTCCATCCATCCAAACACCATCTAATAAACACCTTCTCTGTGGTAGGTTCCCTGCTAGGCACTGGGGATAAGATTATATAAAAAAGACAAAAATCCCTGCGCTTCCAGAGTTCATGGTCTAGTGAAAAGAAATATACACATAAGTAACCATAGTTGTATGTCTTTTAAACCTCAAAATCAAGTTCTGCAGGTACCCTTGACTTGCCTACCTGTCCTCTCCCTTGGTTTTCTCTTTCTATGAATATTTGTCTTGATACACAGAATATTTTGAAGATAGCACATGTATTACATCATATAGCACATGTATTACATCATATCGGTCTACATAATATCATATATTGTGTGATCTTTTTTCCATTCTACTTACTATTTCATAGACATAAACAAAATCTTTGATAATACATACTGCCAGAAGCTGGAAGAGAAAATAGGTCTTGGGTCAAAACAAGGTGGGATTCAGGGAGATAAGAACTGTTATTTTAGGACTTAGTAAGTCTGCGATGAGATACAGTTCAGGCAGAGAAAACAGGTTGGAGCTCTCGGTGGGATGTGTATGTCTGTACGTGTGGTGTGTGTGTGTGTGTGTGTGTGTGTGTGTGTGTGTGTGAGAGGCGGGTGGAGGTAGCTGGATAATGACAGGAGCAATTACCCCCATCTGGGTCACATTATCTTTATAGTGAGGTTTTTCCCCTAATGTAAGAAAAGTTGTGAATTTTCAGACAATCTGTACATATTCAAAATAAATCAATAATACATTTAAATTCCTGAAAAATTACTTTTGCATCGTTACATTTAATAAACTAATATTTAAAATCTATATCTAACTGTGAAACATATATGGATGGGCTTCAAGGGATCCATGAGCTCCCTAAAAATATATGCAAAATTATGTGCATATGTGCATTTTTTCCAGAGAGGGTCTCTAGCTTTCATCAAATTCAAACCCATGACTCTAACCCAATAAGTAGATTATTAAAAATTGAGAAATTAAGCCCCATACCAAGGATTTCTTTTCCTAATAAAATCAGAACTTCTTAGCATATGATTCTGATATAAATACTGACTTACGTCAAGAGCCACAGACTGCTTGGCCCAGGACTTCTTCACTTGATTGTACATAATTGTGTTGTTGATGCCAAGGCCACAAAAGATGACAAATGCCTAGAAAAGAGAAAGTCCAGCAATTAAAACTTGCAATAACTCAGTGGCATAATCTTATATGAAAGCAGGCAATCATCAGGGATGGCTCTGAAAATATAATTTTATTGTACACAGAGATAGGCCTTGGGGAAATATGCACATTAAAATTCTTAATTACTATTGTCATGTAACAGTTTTATAGCTCACACTGCACAGGAGAAAAATTATTAATTTAATGTCATTGTGAAGAAATGACTTTATATATTTAAAGCCATACTTAGAGTCTTAAATGTGTTCTTAATTTATTTAGGTTGTGGACTGATTTTAGTAATTCCATTCCATTTAAGCAAAAGCAACTTCTTTTATTAGCTAAGCTATAAAATATTGGTGAAGAAACCAAGTGAGTGTACTCATAAGGTAAATGATAAGGGAAAGGAAGATAGATTTAGAACCATTTCGTAAAAAGCTAGGAGGTATTCTAGCCTAGCAGAAAATAATCATGAGGTTTTCAGGGTGGCCACTGGTACAAAGTCTATGAGGAAGCCCATTCAAAGATAATCTCTCCAGCTAGAGGGCAGACTGGACTACACAGAAGCTTGTAAACAGGAAAGGTGATGGCCAGACGTCTGGCACAGGTCTCAAGACTGAACACAAAGCAAGCAGCACAAGGTTAAGACCACCAACACTTTGCAGGGATGAGGAGATTCAATTCCATAATAAAATTAATATTAAATAATCAGTGGTTAAAAATAATCTAATTAGTGAAAAATAGACTCACATTAACCTAAGCATTGATATATTCTTTAAATCTTCCTTTTAATTCTGTCACATCAGTTCAGTATAACGACAGCTGATTAGCAATGATTTATCTTTACAAATGGGCAAGCTGCAACTAGCAGCCACAACCCTTGGTTCACAAATGTATTTTCTTACCTCAAACAGTCGTTGATCTGCATCATCAAAAGGTTTCCCATCAAGTCTATTTAACACTTGAGCCACTCCTATGGGAAGAGTTTGGGACGTGGTCATTTTCAACACTGGCAGTGTTACTACAATACAGTAAACCTCAGCTGACTTATGCCTCCTCTAAGTGAACTGCACTCAGTTTAATCTCTGGGCTCTCTAATGCCTGCTGTCTACATGAAAGCAGATCTGAGATGTACAGTGAACAGTCTGTTGCCAAGGCTGTGATATCCAGGCTGGGCCACAGTGAAGCCTGGAGTCTGCCAAGCATCAGTTTGATATCCTGAAAATGGTTTTCAAGATGATTGCTCATAATGACTCTGATATATCTGGCAGATATACACAGAAACGTAAACGTAAGAGCAATTATATACGTAACAGTGTGTATATGTGGGCGTGTGTGCTTGTGTGTGTTTATTCTTTTTTCAATTTCCTGAACCACAATACCTAAGTGAGGCATTATGATACAGTGACTAAGATCATAGGCTCTGGATTCAGACTGTCTTGGTTCAAATTTCAACTCCATCTGCTATTGCCTTGACTAAGTTACCCAACATTTTTAGCACTGAAATTCCTCATCTGAAAAATGGGGATTAAAATGTTAACTATCTCAGAGTTATGAAGATTAAATGAGATGATATTTGGATGTCTTAAAGCATATGGCTCCACACAGAGTGAACATTCAAGAAATGTTAGGAATTATGATATAGTTAACCTTCAAAGCAAGGTTAGTTTTGCTGCCTGTTAAACAAACTTAATTCATGTGTGTTTCCTCCTTCCAAAGTTCATTTCCAGCATTATACCAGACGGTTTAGGGCATGACTATGAAAACAGACAATTCTAACTAGAAAAAAAGAACAATCTTGAAAACCATTCCCCTGTGTTCCGATTTCGTACAAACAAAATTTTCTGTAATTCTAAAGCATGCTTGTATTTTTTAAAACATCTAACTTCCCAACAGGGAGGTAACTCATACACATAGATAATGAAATGCAGACCTTTTAGCATGTAACAGGCAAACTACAGTCTAATTTTGAAAGAATAAAAGATGTTTACTGTTAGGAATAAAATGTTGGACTGTGAGATTGCCATTGGACATCAACAGATAACATGTAGTGTTTCTTATGGACTTTCTCTTCACTTTGAATTTAAACATATTTAAAACTCTATAAATGATGTAATCCAATGCTTTAATAGGGGCTCAAGTTCCCAAATCTTAGGATATTCTTTATGTTTAATAATGTACCAATATTTCCCTGCATTTTAAGCAAATTGATGAAAAAAATTGTTAGAATTCAAATCTTAACAACATTCACAGAATACTAAATCCTTGGGTAAGTAGCACTGCCCTAGAGTTTAACAGGCAATCCTTGGGGGAAGCAAAGAGAAGCAAGTAGATGCATTAGTTACCTTACGTCTCTCAGGAAAAAAATTACATTTTAATCATATTTCCATAATTTTAATTAATGCCTCTATCTTTCATGACTCTCTACTTCAGCTATTGACTTCTTGCCTAGATTCATTTCTTAGGTTTGATGTTTTCTTGATTGAATTTTTGAGGGGAGGGAAAGGAGCAGAGAAGGAGAGAAAAACTGGAAGCTGTTTTGGCCCATGATTCCCTTTATTCTGAGGTAAGTGTGACCTATTTCAGAACCATCCAGGCTGAAAGATGTGTGCTCAGTGTATGTCTAAAAATGCACATTCTTTCTTCCTTTGCATTTACTCCATGTGCAAAAGCATAAATGTAAACATATTGAAAGTTCGTACTAGGAGTTAGGAGGCCTGGGTGTTAATCCTGCTCAGCTGCTGATGCATTTTGTGACCCTATTCAAGTCTCTGTGCCCGCCCCCCCCCAATCCTCTCTCTGCTCTCCCCCTCCCTCCCTCTCTCTGCTTCAGTTTCCACAAGGTAATATAAGAGAGTTCTATTAGTTGATTTCTGAGATACCTTCCAACCTCAAAATTATTGGTTCTTATTTAAAAGAGTAAGTATTTGTTCATTATTCTGGTTAATGACGATTAATCAGGAGTCTACACTTAGAAGACTATACAAGAGCATGAAACATAGGTTGATGAGTTCTGGGCATAAGAAAGGGAGTAAAAAGATATGAGTGTATCTTTAAGTATATTTGTCTTCCATTACAAAAGAAGTTTGAACTCTTTAGGTTTTGTCTTACCGATTATTTGGTGGTTGCTATTCCAAATAGGGACACAGAGAACAGATCTTATGTGAAAACCAGATATCTGGTCAGCCTAGGATAGAAGAAAGCAGTTAATTAAAATTAAATATTAGCTATCCATTTCTGATAGCTTACCACTCTTTATAAACATCATTGTAAAATAACTTTTAAAAAAGACACATTATCATCTAATTTTTAATGCATACACTCACCTGTCTCTTTTAATTTAAAATGTCACCATGAACATCTTTAGGAAATTAGGCCCTAATCAAAACACCCACAACAGTACTACCTCGCCTAATTCCTGCAGCCACAGAGAGCTAGATGTAAAACTATCTTGATCAGAATCACACCACCAGACAAGAAGTCTGGCAACTATTTCTGCTCCAAGTATTTAAAACATTTTAATTAAACGAGTGGTCAATATTTCTCTTTGGTTGGGCACATCTGTTAGTAAAAATATTTGAGCCTATAATGCTGCTACATGTATATCACTTTTAATACTCTATATTTTTAACATTGCTAATTTATTATGTATGTTATAAAATCATATAAGAAAAACTGAAGTTGTAAAAAATAAGATAAATGTACAGGTTTGAGGATCTACTTCCTGTACTCTAATAGACTGTCAGAAGAGGACATATTTAAAAGATGAAGATATAATTATCAGCATCAAACAGACATCAGTCAGTAAAAAGCTCCACTTAATATTAAAATCAGTGGTCCATATTCAAACAGTTAGATAAAAACTACTAAAGACTAATAGGGTGTCAGTGAGATAACATGACGGGGAAAAGTCAACTTGTCATCTCAATACCACAGGAGGAAAAATAAGATATCAAGTTTGGGACCATGATTATTGGGATAAAAAGATATTTGTATATTTTAAAATATTCATTGTAGAATATAAGAACTACATATTTTTAAAATTTGAAATTAGAAGTTAATTTACAGACCTAAAATTTTATTTTGATTTTTCTACTTAGATTTTCCTCTGAGAAATTAATTTTCCGATGGTTTCTAGTCTTAATACCAATAGGTAGTTTCTTTTTCATTAGTACATTTTTGGTCTTGTTCAAGAAATCTTTCCCAGCTCCTAGCTCATGAAGATATTCTCCTATTCTTTCCCCAGAATCTTTATTGTTTAACTTTTACATTTAGCTTTACAATTCAACTAAAAATAATTTTCAATATAGTGTGAGTGAAGGGTCAAGATTCTTGCAACATATATTTATTTACTACTTCATATGTGCCAGACACATTGCTGGATTTAGAGGATATAAAAATTTATTCAAAAGGTTATTATCCTTGAGGAGCTCACAGTCTAGTGAAGACAGAAATAGTTAAGATAAAATAAACATCCAAGTAAAGAAGGTTCAAGATACTATAGAAAAGCCAGCAACTGACTGTGTTTAGAGAAATCAGAAGCAGCTTTAGATTCTTAGAAGTGGGTCTTCGAAGACGATAGTGATAAGTCAACATTTACTGGATGTTCCCTCCACATCCCTGTTTAGCAGTTTCACATGCATTATTCTCATATACTTATTAAAACAACCCTATGGGGTAGGTATTATTAACGTCCTCCCTTATCAGATAAGACTCAGAGAGATTAACTACTCTGAAAGCAGAGAGACTGGTTCAAATGAAACCAGACAATAACAGACACATCCGTCAAATCATCTTCCAAAAGAGCAAAGTGGTTTTCTTCCTCTCCCTAAGAATAAAGCCTGGATTACAGCAACGCTAGTGAGCACGAAAAGAAGTCAGTTTAGAGATGTCTGCAAGGTATCATCTACAGACTTGGGCTAGCCAGAGCAGCACTAGAATGGCGGGGCCTGCTTTGGTCTGCTGAGAGTCATCCATAGCTGTTGATGGTCTTGAACCAGCACTGAGTAGTCATGTGGGACCACCATAACCAAAGCCCCATCTAATCTCTCCTAGGAAATCCAAAGCAGCCGAGGGAAGAAGTCACAGTGCCAGAAGAAAGGGAACATGCAGTGAATGAGAGAAACAAGGACAGCTTGAGAGGTGAGAAAAACAAACCTTTGGCCGTTTGCCCAGTGAAATAAAAGAATTTTGTATACCAAAAGTTATTGTAGTTCCCCCAAAGAATTTTTTATCCTGGGGATGACAGTCTGTTCTGCCATCCATGCAAAGGATAAGATTGAGGCTTCTGGTTTGAGGAAGGGTGTTGGAGTTCCTTGAAGCAGGGAACACAGGAAGTTTGAAGGAAATAATACCAAGTTCAGGTTGACACACATTACATCTAAGATGTAATGGGGAGAAGAGGAGGAGCTGGAGATACTAATCTTGGTGTCATCGGCCTCTGATGTTAAGTGGTGGGTAAAATCACCAAGGGAGACATTGTCCAAGGAAAAGACAAAATGGACAAAAAATAGAACCTGAGTAGACACAATATTCAGGGCAGGAAGAAGAAAGGGGGCCAGTGACAAGAATGGAAAAGAGCTCCGAAACTCATACTCTTAACCTCAAGGCTTTACAGCACATCTAATGTGTAAACACATTATTACAATGTTTCTGGAAAAAATTTACTGACCTGTATCTAGAGTGTTAAAAGTATAAATGCACTTTGATGAATCAATTTCACATCTAGAAATTTATCCTCTGGTGATTATCACAGCTATGTACAACAGTTTCTATATAAAGGTATGAACCATAGCATTATTTATATAATAATGATATGTTAGAAAAACTTGAATATCCAACGGGAGGGAGTTGGTTAAGTAAATCTAAGTATACATATACAGTGGAATATTATACACATAATTCAAATTATGGTACAGAAGAATATTTGTTAACATGGAAAACAATATATTAAGTGATAATAGTGTGGGTGTGTGGAGGTATGCAAACACGTATTATATACCTTGGAAAGTCCTGGAAAAATCGTAACTACAATAGTTCCTTTTGAATTATCTATGGGAGATTTTGTTTGTTTCTTTACTTTTTTATTTTTTAAATATAATATTTTATTTTGTTATCATTAATCTACAATTACATGAAGAACATTATGTTTACTAGGCTCCCCCCTTCACCAAGTCCCCTCCACACACCCCATTACAGTCACTGTCCATCAGCATAGTAAGATGTTGTAGAATCACTACTTGTCTTCTCTGTGTTGCACAGCACTCCCCATGACCCCCCCTACATTATACATGCTAATCGTAATTCCCCCTTTGTTCTTCCCCACCCTTATGCCTCCCTTCCCACCCATCCTCCCCAGTCCCTTTCCCTTTGGTAACTGTTAGTCCATTCTTGGGTTCTGTGATTCTGCTGCTGTTTTGTTCCTTCAGTTTTCCTTTGTTCTTATACTCCACAGATGAGTGAAATCATTTGGTACTTGTCTTTCTCTGCCTGGCTTATTTCACTGAGCATAATACCCTCTAGCTCCATCCATGTTGGATAATGTTTCTTTACTTTTTAAATAAAATGTTTTTTCTTTATTTTTTTAGAGTTAGACTTTATTTTTAGGTTCACAGCAAAAGGAGTGCAAGTAGAGTGAGTTCCCATCCCCCTCCCCCCACACATACACACTAACACCCCTCATTATCAACATCAGCCACCAGAGTGGTGCATGTGATACAGCTGATGAGCCCACACTGATAAATCACCCAAATTTCATAGTCTATATTAGGACTCCCTCTTGATGTTGCTCATTTTAAAGGTTTTGACAACTGTATAAAGACATGTATTCACCATTATACTATCATAGAGAGTAATTTCACTGCCCTAAAAATCTGTGTTCATCCCTCTATTCCTGCTTCCTGTAGCAATCACTAATCTTTTCCCCTGAGCTTTACTGAGGTATAACTGGCAAAATTCTAACATATTTAAAGTGTACAACATGATGGTTTGATACATGTACACACTGTGAAAGAATTCTTCTTATGGGAGTTTTAAAATTACTGTTTCTATTTTCTAAATTTTAGATAAAGAAATACTTGTACAGAAGAGAAAAGTTATTTTCTAGCTAAAACTAAAGGGGAACTATAGTGCAGAATAGTTGCAGAAGAGTCAAATAACATAAACAGTGGGTTATTGAATTTAGTAACACAGAAGAATAATGGAAGGCAAAGATAGTCAAGGGAAGAAGGAATTGGATGAGAAACAGAAGTTATGGGGTTAGTTCTGGAGGAGAGGAAGGCCACACTGAAAGATCAGAGCTGCACTGACCCAGAGCTTGGGTCTTCCATGGGATGAGCACAGGAGGAGTGGGGAGGCAAAAGAGAATGTTGAGAGTGTCTTCACATCATTCCCACTATAGCTGAGGGCAGGATGTGAAGCCAGCACTAACTGGCTATAAGAACAGGGAAGAGGGGATGGTGGTGAACAACATGCTTGAGGAATCCAACAAGATGGGAGAGGGGGAGTCAGAGGGGGGCAGAGAACAGTGAGAGTGAATTTGCCCATGGATCATCAAGGCAATCCCCTAGCTGTGTATCTGTGGCAAAGACTGTTACTTCTGGAAAGCTGAACTAATCCAGGCTAGTATATGTGACCATATCAAACGGCAAGGGAACATACACCATCATTTAAAGGGTCTGAAGGAGAAGGAGAAATAGAAAGGAGATGAAGCCCATCATAGAAGCACAAGACCTCTGAAGAATGAATCCCAAACAGGGATAAAGAGGAATGAGAAGGTATGAAGGAAAGAATTGTCTTGGTTCATCAGATAACCCTAAGTCTCCAGATCACATCAGCCAATGGAGCTCAAAAATATCTATTGGTCTCTCAGCCCCAATCAAATCACCAAAACTCTCTATGCCTCCATTTGTCATCAATACTTATCTCCCACATATCAAAATCTCCAGATTTTGGCATTATAGTTGATTCTTACCTTTTCTTCTGTGTGTTGTTCCTTATTTCCCAAGTTGTTTTACAAGAATATATGTGAAAGGGTTTCAAAGGTATTTTACAAACATAAATATTACTAATGTTGAAAGGAATACTTGCTCCAAAATATCTGCTCAATTATTCATAGGGCCCCTTCTCAGTTTGAATTTCCTATCATTAGAGTCCCAAATGTTAGACCACATGAGACTAAGCAGCCTT